ACGGGGAAAATAGACACCACGGTCTCACCATCCTCATAAAATTCTCCCTTAAGGAGAATGAAAGGGTTGTCCCGGTTGCTAAAACTAGTCTTCCCCTAGATATTAGCAACCTGATCAAAGCCAAAAAAGCTGCCCTCCGTAGAGCTGCATGCTATCCCACTCCCGAATATAGACTTGCGGCCCACCGCCTTCAACGTAAACTCCGTTACCGCCTCAAAGATTTTAGAGACCTCGAAAAGAGCACTCATGGAGAATACCTCCCCCTCTCATACAGCATACTACCAGATGGCGAGAGCCCTCCGGATAGACGCTATCACTCATACCCCCCCTCTCTCGTCCCGACGGCTCTATTGCCTTCGAGGACGAAGAAAAGGCTGAGTGCTTCGCTGACAGCGTCGCCGCACTATGCTCTCCCAGCTCCCTCCCATATCCAAGAAGTGGAGGACGAGGTCCGCCGCCGGAACTCACCACCCACCACCTCTGACCCTATCACTGTATCCAAAGATGAGATTTAATCAATCATCAAAGGACCAAAGCCCAAAAAAGCACCGGGCGCGGATGGCATCTCCAACCAAGCCCTCAAACATTTTCTGGAGCAGGTGATCGCCTTTTTGGCCATAATCTTTAATGCCTGCTTCGACTTCAGCTACTTCTCCACCTGTTGGAAAGAGGCAACTGTCATTGGCATTCCCAAGCCAGGCAAACCTCACCTCACTCAAGGCCATGGGCAATCTTTTCGAACGTGTAATCCTCACGCGCATGTGGCGCCACCCGTTTTGTTGAAATTGGAGTTGCCGCACTGTTGGATCTTCGGTTTATAAATTTAAATCAGATTCGTACCTCGTACAAAAGAATACTACTTGTGCTGCATTTCTAGCAAAGTACATAATAAGACAGGTGAATATTTCAGGTAAATCCACGACGATGCCCACATTAGCTCCTGCTGCCATTACTAGTTCTTCCAATGAATCTGTTTTATCAAAGCTTTCGAAAAAACACGTTACTTTGACAAACACTTATATTGAGTGTAATGAACCGACGATATTTTAAATTATTGGCAAATAAGAAAAAAACATTTCTGGTCTTGAACGAACTTGCAAGGATAATACTGGCAATTCCTGCTACCAGCATGCCTAGCGAGCGCGTATTTTCTATAGCGGGACTAACTGTGACTCAAAATATCTAGAGTAAGCAGACGAGTTGATAAAATTATTTTTATTAAGGATAATTATACTTTGTGCAAAAAACCACAATTTTAATTTCTTACAATTTGTGCAAAAAACGAAAAAGAAGTGCTTTTTCGTTTTTTGTAAAAAATGTAAGGTATAATTAATTAGAATTTGTTTGATTTGTTTTCATTTTGAGAATGATTTCTTATATTTACGCAAACACTATTCACATTGATTAAAACTACTTTTACGGATTTTATCGCGTTTTATTTATATTAATTTTAATACCTGACGTTTCGGGTGCTATCCAGCACCATTAGTCCCCCGTGACCATGGGTGCTGGAAAGCACCCGAAAGCGTAAGGTATTAAAATTAATATAAATAAAACGCGATAAAATCCGTAAAAGTAGTTTTAATCAATTCATTTTGAGAAATTAAATTTGAATTCCTATCCAGGTCTATGTTCTACTTGTATAACTACCTTATTTTAAATGAATGTTTACGAAAAATTGAAAAACTACGGCCACGCCGGCGCGGCCAAATTCTTGCTCGTCGCGCATATCTATGTCCAAACTAACGGCCAACGCCTCCCCCTTGGACTCTACTGCTACCGCAAATTCGCTATCTCGCTCGGCTGGTGATCTTCTGAGTTGTAGTGGTTGGGCTGGTGAGTTAGGTAACCCAGAAGATCACCAGCCGAGCGACCGTGACGGAAACCCTACTGGTGGTCACTAATCAGCTGGTGATCCTCAAGGTACTGTTAGTCGAGCTGGCTGTTAATAATGGATTCCATTATTTTAGAGGACAAGGAGGTGATGGCGATAGGAATATTGGACGGATCAGAGCAGTTACCGTTTTTAGGGATTGGGTGCACGAAGGTTGTTTGATATCGGGACTACACTTGAGGGAGTAGGAGTACCGGAAAAGACGCGTTAAAACCGGTGCCAACTCCAGAGCACACGTCTTCAGCACAATAGGAGGGATGCCATCAGGCTCACTCGACTTGTTGACGTTCAGGGAGAGGAGTGCTCTGCGCACCAAGCGTTGGGTAATCATCCTGCATGGAGCACTCATCCCAGTCATCAAGACTCAAGTTGGACGGAAAGAGAGAGCCCAGCAAATCAACTTTCTCCTTTGCGGCATGGGCCAGTGAGCCGTCCTCCCTGTGCAGAGATGGGACAGATAGCTGACAGAAGTTCCCTTGGACTGCCTTGGTGAGGAACCAATTGCACGTGTTCCCAAAGGAAGACAAACTAGTTTCTCGTCAATTCTGCCAATGTGCTCTGACTTTGCCTTGATAATGACACTTTTGAATGACCTGGAGGCTAAATTATACTTCTTTTTAAGAGCGCTGGTTTTGCATCCCGAGACAGAGGATTTGGATGTGCAAGCCCCTGCCTGTTAGCACTCTTGCTTAAGACATAATGCAATTTTGCAGGAGCGACCAAACCATGGCTGGGTTCTGCCTCTGGTAGGTACCACAGACGATGGAATAAAAAGTTCAATTCTCTGTAGCACCACATCAGTGACAGAATCAGCAACAACGCTGGGATCATCTGGCGAGAAGCAAACCTGCCTCCAAGGCTAGGATGCAAAAAAAGATCAGCTGATAAAGTATATAATGAATATACATTTTAAAAAATCATTAAAAATACTTTCGACGCTGCTCCGGCAGTAAAAATCATGTTTCAGATAAACCCACTTGACCCCTCCACAGTGACAGAATCCTCAAATTCAGGCGACCTAATTGTAAACCCAACCCACCTGCACTCACCAGACAAAATGCAGAAGCAAAGCTTCTCCTCTAATGTAAACTTATAAGGCAAGTTTGAAAATGTCGTGATTAATCGAATATTGATCTTTTAATGACCGATTTTATCAAGAATCGAAGATAGTATGTTCAATTCGAATCAAATCAGAGATTATTTTTAATTTAAGTGAATTGACATGCCAATTTAAAATTGAATCAAAATTTTTAATCATGAATTTGAGCTTGTTTTGGTGTGACTAAATTAAGAAAACCAGTTTTATACTTACTTATTCATCTTGCTTACAAATTGACTTGACTTTTTTAATGCACTTAATATTTCTGAAAGCCAAACGGCAGCAAGCCAACATTTACTTCTATTCTCATTAGTATTTTGTGTTATTTTTATGAGCTCCAATATAAATTCTTGAAGTAAATCATTTGTATGTAAAAATGTAAGCAATACCTCAAAACAATGTACATAATGCTTACTGAGACTAGATCCCTTTCTAGGAGTACCATCATTTAGAAAATTTAATAATTCTAAAGATAAAAACATTGAATTTTTACCGAGTAAAGTTTTATTTACAAGTATTGCAGTATATTTTGATTTCAAAAGACGCTTAGAATGTGTGTTGATTAAATTTATCAACGAACGAATAGAAACTTTTTTCAAGTTTGACAAATCTAATGAGTCTTTAAATAAATCTCTAATATCATTTACTATCGATTCTCTCATATTTATGTCGGGAATATCACCTAAACTTTTGATATTCAACTTGGAATGAGCACAGATACTTAATGAAACACAAACACTCATCAGTGCACTTATTTTGTTTTCTTCACTTTCATCTAAATCAATCTGACCGCAAACATAGTCATTAATAAACTCTTTATGTTTGTCCCAGTAATTTTCCTTAAGCCAATCTAAGCTAATCAATGTCGCTTCTCTAAGCAATTCTATTGACGGCAAGGTGTTACCATGTGCAGTATCATGTCGCAGGTCTACAATCCAATCAGGAACACCCAAATTTTTGGCTGCTTTATACAAACTTGACCCTTTAGCGGTTTGAGAGTCAAGCATGTGGTTAACAAATCGCATTAAAGATGTTGAATAAGCTAAGCATAGCATTGTATCATTGACAGTATGGGTGTTTTTGATATCCTGAATGTGTACTTGTAGTAATGATAAAGTAGATTCTATCCCAGAAGGCAGCGAAGGACTTCTAGCTTTCCAAATCATAAGTAATTTAAGAGCTTCCTCTTTGGATGAAACTGTTGAAGATGGAGAATACATGTCCACATACAGTTTTTGCCATTCTCTGCTATTATACCACGGCACTACATTGTAATATTCACTCATTTTAAATAGTGTAATTTATTACATACGAATATTTGTTGTATAACGTGTTTTATAACCTTTTTTTATTTACTTTCCTTTCCTTACTTATGTTCACGATTAAGAGTACTATCACAGATTACCTTTGTTTAAACTGAAAAGTACCATAGTTCGGGTATGTTCCGAAATACAACGCAGTGTACTGTCCAATGCAAATGACGTATCATTTGACACTTTATTGTACTAGCGTGCCTCCGCCATATTGTGTCCGATATCCGGCCATAATATTTTTTTTTTTTTTATAGGAGAAGGGGCAAACGAGCATGCGGCTCACCTGATGTTAAGTGACTACCGCCGCCCATGATCAACCGCAACACCAGGAGAATTGCGGGTGCGTTGCCGGCCCTTTAGAAAGGAGTAAGCTCTTTTCTTGAAGGTCCCCTGTGGGCCCAGACAAAATCCAAGCGTTTCCCGTGCAAGCGTTTTCCGCTCACGCTAAGGACTTGACGTTAGCGTGTTGAAATTGGTAGACAAGTTACACATAGAACGCTGAACGCCCATTCCGCAGCGTTACCCGAAACACTCTTAGTCTATGGAATAGTGTGTAGCAAGTGTCAATTGCGTCTGCATCTGTCACTGTCAAACGCAAACGCGCGCTTAGAATATTATTTATAAGTGTCGTGTTGAAAGTTATTGAAGTGTTTTATTACAAAAAAGTTAGTGAAGACATTGTAAGAACTGCGATATGGATTCTAGACTTCGTGCGAGTCCCGAACAATTTAGTTTGCTAATAGAATTTATGGAAAGGTAGGTTTTTTCTCTGGTCTGTATTTACGCGAACACTACACATTGAAATAATACTCGTTTTTTTACGAAATTTATCCCCCCCCGTGACCATGCGTGCTGTAAAGCACTCGAAACGTCAGGTATTTAAAAAAGTTAAATATACGCGATAAATTCCGTAAAAACTAGCATTATTTCAATTTTGTTCCCTGTTTTAATTAGTATTGGACCTACTTGAGAATATGGAATGCATAATGTAAACAACCTCACAATGGTGCACTTATATGATTGTTGTTCTTACATTTTGTTATTCTTATAAACTCTATTCCAAACCTTAATACTTGTTTCTTAGTAAGGGTATTAGAATGTTAATAGCAAACTTTGTTTACTGGCTCTTATTCTCACTGTACACTAATCTTATGAATATTATTTTTAGCCATGGTGATCTTTCAAGGTCACAAGTTGGACTTCAAGGAAGGGTAAGGAGTGAACGCCTGTGGCAAGAGTTAGGTGACATTTTAAACTCAGTGGGTAGATGTGGTGTTAATAAAACTTCCGACAAATGGAAAAGGGTAATAAGATATTAATTATTAAGCAAAGTATGTACTGCTGTTGCATAGTACCTATGAAGACCATTTATTTTAATGTATTATTTCATATTTTGTGCTACAGGTATGGTCTGACTGGAAAACCAAAACAAAAAAGAAAGCCTCCCTTATAAATCGGGACATTCATGGCACTGGTGGTGGGTCTGGTAGGGGAAAACCATTAAGTCGACTTGAGGAAAGGGTGTTACGTGTAATTGGGGTCACCGCAATTACTGGAAGTCAAGCCATACAAGAAGCAGGCTTTCAAGTAAGTGAACCCTTCATATATTAATGTTTTTTCTTGTTTTACTGATTTCATAAAAACTTGCATATTTCTGGTCAACAACTGATTATATTTTTTGTAATTAGGAACCATCTCAACCCCAAGTGAGCAATACAGCTGATACAGCAGGGAGGATGTCATCACCAGCAGAAATTGAGCTCTTAGCATTACCATCAGCTGCAGAAGATACACCCATAGCAGTGCCAGCAAATGTGACATCTCCACCAGCACATCCTGTCAGTCCTGTGCCAGGACCTTCAAATAGTAGAACTATACAAGGAGGTAATTATTACAAAATTAATTTTGTAAAGGTATTAAAATTATTGAATATTCATTATTATGAGTTATTGAAACTACCAACATTATTAAATAACTTCATTGCCACCATAGATAGAACCACCATCACCACCATATTTCGTTAGTTTTCTTTAGTATATTATAGCTTTCATCTGTGTTTTCAGAAAGGTCGCCGGTATCTGCCGGCCCTTCTACACCTCGTCATCGCCATCTCAGACAGCGAAGACTGCGACAAACACCATTTGACCGAGCCACCAGCGAGTTTGTAGCAATAGAGGAGAATCGGTTGCGTTTTGAAAGGGAGAGGGATGTGCGTCAACACGAGCTTGAAACTGAACGACTCAAAATAGAAGCACAACGTCTGCAACTTGATAGAGAGCGCGTTCGGGTTGAAGAAGTCCGCACCCATGTAGAGGCAGACCTACGTGACTACATCCAAGAATTAAATTTAAAAATAACACTCTTATGTCACTATTGGAGACTCGTGATTTGAGACCGAATTAGCATTTAAGTAACATAATTTATTCTACCCCTAATGTAATTTTATTTGACTGTGCTATGTAATTAATATTACTTATATTTTATTTGTTTTCATTTTTTAATTTAGACTTAATAGTGCATAGTGTATAATTCTAATAATGAAAAATATTTTAAAGAAAATAAGTACCTTTTTAATTTTGATCTTTTACTTGAAAATGAAATTTTGTTATATTGATTTCACAAATTACTTATCACATACCATTACACTAACAACTAAGAAATACTTTAGTACAAGCACTAGACAAAATTACAATTTAAGTAACATGATATTCTCCCATAAACTATGACATGTATTCCATGCAGAATGTAATTAAATTTTATTTGTTTATAATCATATTCATTTAAAGCTAGGTACAAAACATAGACCCTGGGCACAGCAAAAGGATAAAATTAAAATTACAAAAACAAAATTATAACTCTATATCTACTACTTACTAACATAAAATTAATTATACAATAAAATTTGGATAGTGTATAATTTTATTAATGGAACATATCTGACAGAAAACTTGAAGGTGTATATCAAAATTAAAGGTCAAGACCTTTAATTTTGATATACACCTTCAAATTAGAAATAAGGTTTTGTTACATTGCTTTCACAAATCATATAACGTAAGTCCCTAAATTAAAAAAAAGAATAAAAAAATCACACAACACATACCATTATACACTAAAAACTCAGAAATACTTTTAAAGTCTTGATAAAAGATTATTCAGTACTGCCCTGCCTTGGAGTAGCTCACTTTGATCACTAGCAGCACCAACGCTATCAGATGCATTGTCAGGTTGAGCATCATCTTCTATTTCCATAATAGATGGAGGAGGTAAATTGGCCTCTAAAGCCATATTGTGTAACACACAACAGGCAAGTACAATTTTCCCAGCAACCTCGGGATGATAATGCAAGGTCCTGTGTCTTAATAAACACCTCCAACGTGACATTAACAATCCAAAACAGTGCTCTATACAGTTTCTTGCTTGTACATGTCGCTGAGTATATGTATCTTCAACTGAGCCAGGAACTGCATTTAATATGGGAGTCATCAGCCATGGCCGCTGAGGATATCCAGAATCACCTAAAAATACATAAATAAATATTTGCATTAGGTAATAATTATTTGCTACGCAACAATATAATTCTTTGTGAATAAAATGTTTTAACAAAAGTGTTATCTAAAAATATACCATATTATTTATTTACCTACCTAATAACCACACTTGTTCTCCATTTTGGTGCAATTCTCGCATAAATGTTTCCATTCTGCTTGATGCCCATATGAATAGCTCCGCCAAACTTTGGATTTACATTAGTAATTTTTAAATTACTGTTGCATACCTGTTGACAGGAAAAAATTATGGAACATGGATAATAATCCTATGAATATGTTTCTGTAAGTACTAATTAAAGCTATTTTTACATAATTGAGCCACAAACAAATGCAAACTTACTATTTGTACATTCAATGAATGATAACCTTTCCTATTAAAAAATAAATGTTCATCAACTGGTGGCTTGACTATTGCCACATGGGTACAGTCTATGCATCCAACTATACCCGGGAGTCTAAATCGCCTCTGAAACCTGTAATTTTGGAAAATATAATACTTAATTATTTTGTTTTTAAAAGGACAGATGTTTTTACTAGTATTTTGAACCTAGTGTGCATGAAAGGCTCAATGAGGCATTTTCTAAGTACCTATCGGTCTTAAGGAAGGTATAGTGTTTAGTACATCAAAGAATATGCTACTAATAAAAAGTATTTCAAGTATGTATTTATACTTAAATACTTTTGTCATATCATAACTTACTCAAGTCTTATTTGGGCTCGTTGTTGTTGCGAACTTGGAAACAGAATTCATTTATTTAAGTATAATGGCTGGATGGCTCAATGCTTCAACAACTTGATGTATACACCTACTAGTTGTTCTTTGTACCAAATGCTGCGTTAGTCCAATAATGCGTTGATATGAACCCGTAGCTAAAAAGCTAAGAGTACACAAAACCTGAAACATGATTTCATTGAGAAATGACATTAAGTAGCTCTGTTGAAAGGTTATACGTAGGTACAAAACTTACCTTGATTTCTAAACTAATTTCCCGGATACCTTTCAATGACGTTAAACGCCGAAGATCATCACAAAGACGCCAAAAACTTTGTTTATCTAACCTAAAACGATGAACAAATTCCAATTCCTCCATCTCCACAATTTGCACCATTTTACGACGATTTACTCTTGTTTGACGTCTTTGCAATGTTGTTTCATTATTAGCTGCCCATAATAATCTCAAAGTATGCATCATAGAGGAAAGTAATACTAATTAATTTGAATTAAAGACACACAAAATATCACTGTATACTCGTTTCTAGCGTTAGCGTCTGGGTCCGATTTCCCGCTAATATAGCGTGTTGCGGAAACGTCAAAATATCATTGGCGTTTGTCAAAAGTGGCAATTGTCTAGGTACCATTTTGATGAACATTTTTGTCGTTAGCGTGTCACGCTCACTTCGACGTTCCTTTCCGCATGAGGAATAATGACTTTGTCTACCAATTAAGCAGCAATCACGTGACATCTGGTTAGCAAATGTCAACTCCATACAATTAGATTTTTCCGTTGGCGTTAACGCTTACAGAAAACGGATTTTGTCTAGGCCCCCAGGTCGTATCGATCCGGAAAAATCGCCGGTGGTAAACTATTCCACAGAGAGGTTGTACGTGGAAGAAAACTCCTTGTGAAACGTACAGTGGTGGACCGCCAAGCATCCAGATGGTGTGGATGGTATCGGGACGTTTGACGTGTAGTGCGTTCACGAAATTTGGCGGCTGGGATTAATCCGAACAATTCCTCAGAGCACTCCCCGTGATAGATGCGATAAAATACGCAAAGAGATGCAACATATCTTCGCAGCGCCAGTGAATCGAGCCGGTCGGAAAGCATTCGGTCGTCGACGATTCGAGCCGCTCTGCGCTGGATGCGGTCAAGTGGAAGAAGGTACTGGGGAGCCCCAGCCCAGAGATGGGAACAGTATTCCATGTGCGGCCGAACCTGCGCCTTGTAAAGTTGCAGGCGGTGTGCCGGCATGAAATACTGTCCCGCTCTGCTGAGCACGCCAAGTTTTTTAGAGGCCAATTTGGCCTTCCCTTCCAAGTGACCACGAAACTGCACGTCACTCGATATGTCGACGCCGAGGATTCCGATACTGGCTGAGGCAACAAGGGGAGTGCCTTGAAACTGAGGGGATACGACAAAGGGGTTCTTTTTAGCGGTTAACGCGCAAACTTGTGTCTTCTGGGGGTTAAACTGGACTAGATTTAGTCGCCCCCCAATCCGAGACTCTGTCCAGCAGAGACTCGACTTCAGACACAAGTTTGTCCCGGCACTCAGAGACGTTTTCCCGAGAAATATTGGCTCGGCCGGTGTAAAGAGCATCACCAGTGCTGTCATCTGCATAGCAATGAATGTTACGGGTATGCAACATGTCATTGATATGCAGAAGAAACAGCGTTGGCGATAGCACGCAGCCCTGTGGAACACCAGCATTAATAGGCTTGTAATCGGAGCTTGCACCGTCTACAACGACCTTGATGCTCCGATCTACATGAAAGCTGGTGATCCAATCGCACAATTTCTCGGGAAGCCCATAGGAAGGGAGCTTCGAAAGAAGCGCTTTGTGCCAAACCCGATCGAAGGCCTTCGCAATGTCCAAACTAACGGCCAATGCCTCCCCCTTGAACTCTACTGCTTCCGCCCATCTGTGAGTTAGGTAGACCAGAAGATCACCAGCTGACCGACCACGGCGAAAACCGTATTGGCGGTCACTAATCAGCTGGTGATCTTCAAGGTACATCATGAGCTGGCAGTTTACAATGGACTCCATTGTTTTGGAGAACAAGGAGGTGATGGCGATTGGCCGGTAGTTGGACGGGTCAGAGCGGTCGCCTTTTTTAGGGATCGGGTGGACGTAAGCCGTCTTCCATGATTTTGGGACTACGCCTAGGGAGTAGGAGTACCGGAAAAGACGCGTTAAAACCGGTGCCAACTCTGGAGCACACGTCCTCAGCACAATTGGGGAGATTCCGTCAGGCCCACTCGACTTGTGGATGTCCAGGGAGAGGAGTGCTTTGCGAACCGAGCGCTGTGTGAAGTGCACTTCCGGCATGGAGCACTCACACCGCGGGATGGTCGGCGGAGTACTCCCCCGTCATCGAGTCGAGTTAGACGCAAAGAAAGAGCCTAGAAGATCGGCTTTCTCCTTTGCGGTATGGGCCAGTGAGTCGTCCTCCCTGTGCATGCAGATGGAAGAGATGGCTGACAGAAATTCCCCTGGACAGCCTTGGCGAGAGACCAGAATGCACGGGTTCCAGAAGGAAGGCGAACTAGTTTCTCGCCAATTCTGCCTATGTGCTCTGACTTTGCCTTGGCAATGACTCTTTTGAAGGACCTAGAGGCGGAATTATACTTCTTTTTTTAGAGCGCTGGTGTTTACATCCCGGGACGCTGATGCATCAGCCCAGGCTTGGTAGCACTCCTGCTTATAGCATGATGCTATTTTACAGGAGCGACCAAACCATGGCTGAGACTTGCCTCCAATGGGCACCACAGAGGAAGGAATAAAAAGTTCCATACCCTGAAGTACCACATCAGCGACAGAATCCGCAACAACGTTGGGATCATCCGGCGAGAAGTAACCCCGCCCCCAAGGGTAGGATGCAAAGAAAGACCGCATCCCATCCCAATCGGCCGACCTATAGTGCCAAACACGGCGGCAGCCTGCAGAATGCAACCGCGATTTCAGCGTGAGTGGCACCACACTCCGGACCAGACAATGGTCCGAGGAGCCTAAAGGGGCGTCGACGGAAATCTGATATCCGTCCGGGTGAGAGGTCAGCAAAAGGTCCAACAGGGAAGGTGCATGATCCTCCACATCTGGAATCCGCGTAGGCGAAGTAACC